GTCTGAATTAACGGCTTCATGTTAAAGCTCGCAAGGACCATTCCCGACCTCGAAACAATATGCCTAATGAGAACTATGACAAGAAATAGGCGACCATGTCTTTATATGGGCAACAAATCCAGGTCACCTCGGATCCCCAACAATGGATTTCCACAAGGTTCAGTACTTGCGCAAATGCACTTCAACGTCTACATGAGCGACATGGAAAACCCACCGGGTCACACAAATTTGTATGCGTGGATGACCCTGCCCTAGCAATGCAACCAGTCAATTTTAGCAACATCGAATCCAGTCTGAACAAAGAGCTGAACACCATGGGGGAATCTTCTTTGGTTCTTTCGGTAAAGTCACGTAGAATGAGAATAAAATAATAAAATAAAACAATAAAATTATCACGACCTTTCGGCCACAACACAAGTGGCCTTCTTCAGGTGAAAGGAACAAACCTGTCGGGACGACAGAGCTTCAATGAACGTTGTTAATATTTGTGCATCTTTTAAGCTGGTTGAGAGAAGTGAGGCACCTTGACAAAGGGGTTTACATATCAAACAGGAGAATTTAGCATTGAAACAGTTGATGGATTAGCTTGTGACTGGTCACAGAAATAGCTGTGTTAAAGTCAAAGCCTACACATCCACAGAGGCACCTCGTACATGGACGCCAAAGGGGCTGCAATAACTCAACTATCATAAAGTAAATATTCCATGGGGGAATATTTCTGGATATGGAGGCTCAAGCCAAATTCCCCACAAAACTGGTCACTACATTTTGACTTAAAACTTTCGTTCCTGCAGGAATTCATATTCTTGGTTCTTTCGGTAAAGTAATTAGTCACTATGCCATCTTGATAACAGAAGCGCGCAGCACACTCTGAAAGTGACTTTCTTCGGGAACACCGTGCGACACGACCCCATTGCAACGGAATCTCAGAGTGAAGCTGGACCATAAGCTAACCATATGGTCCAGCTTCACGTAATACTGTGCACCAGCATAGACGAGAAGTAGTCACAATCGACTTGTTGATGTCCAACTGAACACATCAATGTAGTGTATCACTGGGAGCCTCAAGTCGACCCCCAACACCCTGGGCTGACTGCGCTGTCACAAATATCTCCCCCACCCACCCGCCACGATGCTGCAAACCCTCCGGGAAGTCCTGCAAATCGAGGGATTACAGTCGCCTTCCCATTCGTCAGGAAATCAATAAACGTCGCTTGAAGTCACGAAAGCTATTTTGGACCCATGCGCTTAACCTTCAGCAATGCGAGTTCAACCCCGATGAAGCTTGGAGAGCTGAATGGAGTTAAAAAGATCTCATAAACGAACACCTTGTTAAAGACTAAACGCCAAATATCTCTGGGTTTGATCTTCTCCGAAGCTCACGGATCTACCCTAAACCGTATCATCACAAACTATGGCAGATGCGGATACCTGATGCACAAATTTAAAACTATCTAGTGTGCGACTGTGGTCATTAAAACAGACCATACAACATTTAAAGATGCAATGCCATCTCCACGAACTCCTGACGTGGTTATCTGCACTTGACCACCTGAATGTGAAATTGTAGTTGTTGCTCTGTCATCTACATCAGCCATACGAAAGAGCAGCAGCATCAGCCATGTTGGACAAAGTCCTCGCCAAGGGTGTGGTCTCTCTCACGATCCTCAGCTGCATTCTACTTCATTATATTGTTATCTGTCGAATGCAGGGCATCAGGCAGGCTGATGTATCTACGCAGAGTTTTGGGTGTTAGTCCTTTGCAGGCATTAATGGGTTTCTCCAGGCACTCTCATTTTAACACTGGATTGTCAGGATGAAAAATCGAGAACGTTTCTTCTTTTTTAATGAAAGGTACAGGTTCTTATTGCGTATGGCATTATGTTAAGGTGCTAGATGTCAATGACGTGGTCTGCTAACTTAACATGAGGGCTTCAGCCGAGAGTTTGTTGTAGTTTTGCTATTCCTCTCCATGGAAGGAGCACATAATACAGTTGATTATCACGTGATGTATAGTTTGGGTTGGATTTCTGCATTCATACGACTGTGTCTTGTCTTTCATTTCCATTTATACTGGTGTAGTGTTCGATTTCACTCGGATAACTTCTGTCTTTCTTCGAACACCGCTTTATTTACAACTCTCAGCATGTCCTCCACATTCCACAGTATCCTGGTCGCCACGGCTCGCTCACCGTGCTTCACTCGACTCGCTCGCCACCTTTGTCTCTCCACTCCCCCACGATTACTTCGCTTACTCCGCCGCTAACTTCTTCGTCTCTGTTCACCGCTATCACCGTCACTATGCTCTCTCCACTGCTAAGTGCTTCGTCTCTGTTCACCGCTATCACCGTCACTATGCACTCTCCACTGCTAAGTGCTTCGTCTCTGTTCACCGCTATCACCATCACTACGCTCTCTCCACTGCTGGCTATTCTCTATGCTCTCTCCACTGCCGGCTATTCTCTTCTTCGCACACAGCGTCTTCGCACACAGCGTCTTCGCACACAGCGACTTCACCCTTCAACTCTTAACTCCAACTCCTCAACTTCAACAACCTTCTCCAAGCTCTCCAAGCTCCAACTCTCCCTCTCCAATTGCCGACCCCCCAATTTATCCCCGCTCTCATTACGCCCCCAATTAATTAGTCCGCGTCCCAACGGCACTCCGCGTGACCGTACACCTGTTTCTCCTCCAGACCTTTAGGCGCCGCTCTAGCCTTGGCAACAGCTCCAACCAATCACAGCCGTCCAGGGCTTTCCCAGCTTAATTGCCCTAACATAACCTGCACTGTATTCGCCTTCACTACAGGCTGACCCAAGATAACCCGTACTGTCTGTGTGATCATGTAATCACGCCCCCTCCACCACGCACCTTCCTACTCCACTACACGGGTAGGAACCTCCTGGTTACACCAGCCCACAAGGGATTATTCTTTCCATCCGTCGTGCATCCAAAAATGGGAGGGGTGGGGCTGGGTGGAGAGGGGAGGGTGGGGGAGGGGCTGGGTGGGGAGGGTGGGGAGGGGCTGGGTGGGGAGGGTGGGGCTGGTCAACCCGTGGTGCCCTTATAAAACTCAACATTTAACCTACTCACGCCGGCTTGTGCCCGCCCTCACAGCCGGGCATATTTGCGGAATACACCACGTGGTGCCGCCGTTGACCCTGGCCATTGACCGAGCAGACCAACGTTCCTACCAGCTCCCTCCGCAGGAATGTGTTGAAGGAGATGTGTGCATCTGCCTGTTGATGCGATTCTGGTGCGATTGATGGTTACGCCACCAGGTGTCTTAGAGAAATGTCAAAGCCAGGATGTGCGATGATTGGGTTGCGAATTAGGTGTTTATTTTAGAGGTTCTCATTCCACTGTTCACCACCGTTCTGCCAGATCTGGATGAGAAACCTTTCTTAATAAATGAAATGAAACTTTCTTACGCGATACTGCATCAGCAGTGTTGCACAAGGAAAAAAAATAATCACATTTTGCAGTAACATGGTCCGAAGACGAAAATATGTATAATAAGAAATGTTTTAAAAGACAAAGGCCCTCCAAAGCAGTGAGTAATAGTTGGATACTGAACGATTCACCATGCATCCATAGTAAATTCAATATTTTATGCAGTGTTAAATTGGCATATTCCAATTTGCCATATTGCAATTTAAGACCCCTCATCTGGAAATGTTCTTAAAAGTAAACGCCTTCATGTTCTCCCCGTGGTTGCGTATCTCATTTCACAAGGCAACATATCTCTTGAAGCACACTATTAAAGTCACTCACACATCGGGCTTAACACGAACTTTCAACTCTCGAATCATTCCTCACTTTACGAACAACTATACAACTATGAGTTCGGAGCAGACTATGGATCAACGCCGAATATATATTCCAACGTCATCCACTTTATAGCTAATCGGGATGCAAGTTGCATAATATAACTAAATATATGGTTTAGTTATATTAACATAAAAAATAATGAATGTGATGTCCGACAGCTAATTCGTTAATGTGTCTACACAAAGGACTAGTGTGGACACTGCAGCTGCAGTACGATTTATTTGTTGTGCATTATAATCAACGTGAATCTGTCCCTCTCAATTCATTTTTCAATTATGATTCGTGAAGCTTGCGAGCAAGGATGCCAGTCTAGGAAAGATTACACAGCTTATAATTCGAAGAGGAGGAGCACTCTACAATCACCCGACTTAAGTAACGTGATGAAATCTAAATTATCCACGGAGAATGCCCCCTCCTTCTGCGGTAGCATGCACCTGCATCAGTAACGTTGTTTTGAAAACGCACCACTTACTCTATCCCTTGTTAACCATGTACGCCACCTTAACGTATCTGCTATTTCAACATGCATGCTCAGAGAAATTACTTAAACTCGCTCCTGTACAAAAATAAAGCAGTCAAGCAATTTGGATATTGACCTCTGATGACGAATGCAAGAAGAGGACTTGAGACCCTGATTTAATCATAAGCGGCTGAAACCCGGAATGAAACCCAACATCTATTAAAAACTAATTTTTTTATTTATTTTGATCAGGTAGGGCCCACTGAGCTATAAAGCTATTTTTTTTCCCAGAAGTAACCTGGCCACATTTGACGGTTCAACGAAGTGGCTTATTGCGTGGAAATTCATAGCAGGTAAGTAGTTTAACAAATATGCTTTCGCGACCAATATTATTCATAATAAAAGTTTTTGGGTTAGATCACGTTATTTATGAATGTGTCGTAACCCTCCACCACCCGACACGGCCAATCAGCAAAAAAAAGTGTCACGTTGACAAAAGACAAATATTTCGCTACTTTAGCCCACCGGTGTGTTGAAGAGTGAATCCACAACATTTACAGTTTGAGTACGACGTTTTGCTGGTAATTTCATCCAGCATCATCAGGCAATTCGCCAGAATGGTAAAGCCCTCGCTTGCTCTCGGTCTTGAAGCAGGTAAGTACTCTAAACGCGTGGTTTTAAATGCGGAGGGAAAAACCGGAGGACCCAGAGAAAAATTAACGCGAGTGCGGGGAGCGAGAGAGAACATGCAAACTTCAAATATACGGCCATCAGGGTCGGGATTAAACACACGACATCCTCTGTACCAGGCTTGGATTACAGTGAAAAAGGTGTCAACCCGAAAGTGGAGCTTAGGCCCGGATGAGTGAGCTCAGGGAGGTGTACATCTCGCCAAAGTCGGGACGCGTCAGTGGGTCCTCATGCCAGCAGGAGGACATGACGCGGTGCACGGCATCAGGGCAGACGCTTGGACGGGGTAGGCGGATTCCCTGCTTCAGCAGCTCAACCACCTCCCTGTGCGTCTTCCCTACAGGGGTGGTGGGGTCGGGGGGGGGGGGGCGGGGGGGGCAGGAGATCGGGTGGGGGGGGGTAAACAATGGAGGACACGGAGCAGATGCCGTCACAGTTTTATACCCGTCGGATAGCACGGTTATTAAAAAAAAGATCGCGGTCAAGAGGTGGGCACCATACACAGTCAACCGTGCTCATCGGAGGTCTGGGGGCAGGACAACAACACCGCACGGTTAGCCAAACAAACAGTTAGGCAAGTAGCGAAATCGATTTGTACGCTCGTGATATATTCATTACGTATACGTCAATAATTATGCACGTTATACGCTAATCGTACCTTCAACATGACGGAGTAAGTAACAGAGTAGAGATGAGGCGTAAAAAAACAAAAACGTGAAACGGCAAATGATGCGATGAAATTTTCAGATGACGTCATTAATTGCAGCAGGAAATCATTCTTCTAAAAGGCGGCGATTATTCAAATGACTGTGGGGTGCCGTGAATTGGTGCGGGCCATTTGAACCTTTGTAAGGGAGGGTGCCGTCCGTGTAAATCTCGAAGAGCAGCACCCCGAAAGACCAGGAGTCACACTTGGACGTCCAGACTTTGGTAGTGAACGCCTCGACGGCACACCAGCGTGCGGGCAGCATATCTCCTGCACACCCACAGGTAAGGCAGTGCAGCGTGTAGATTTGCAATCCAACCGCATAGATCTTTGGATGATATCCCTCCTCGTACACCGACTCTGGCAACCAAATGAGGGTACGCGCCTGAGAGGGCCTCTACCGTGTGCAGATGGAGCGATGGAACAGCTTTTGCGCAAGTTCTAGGCGGATTATATTATTCCATAGTTATTCACCGACTTACTATTCCGCGATTTTTGGCTACCCACGAATCGCATCTGGAACTCTACACGATTATATCGAGAGAGAGAAAGAAAGTGGTGAAATAAAGTGATGAGAGATAATGTGATGAGAGATAAAGTGATGAGAGATAAAGTGATGAGAGATAAAGTGATGAGAGATAAAGTGATGAGAGATAAAGCGATGAGAGATAAAGTGATGAGAGATAAAGTGATGAGAGATAAAGTGATGAGAGATAAAGTGATGAGAGATAAAGCGATGAGAGATAAAGTGATGAGAGATAATGTGATGAGAGATAAAGTGATAAGAGATAAAGTGATGAGAGAGAATGTGATGCAACATCATAATTTAAAGTGAGTTCATTTTGAAAGTATTATTAACACTTTAATAATATATATTTTTATTTAATCTTGATTTGAAGCTTTCGTGACTACAGAAATCCATCCTTTTTGGTTCTTTCGGTAAAGTCACGTAGATATAAAATAAAATTGATCACGACGTTTCAGGCACAACACAAGCATCCATCATCAGGTGGGAAAGTCGTGATTTATAAGAACCAAAGAGTATAATTCTTATTTACTTTACGTTTTTAATGTTATTGTGTTCTTTAGATACTGTTCATGTGTTTAATAGCTTGTTTATGTTTTTATTGCTATTCGCGGGCATCTGTGGAACGTATCCCCTCGCGAAAAACAAGGGGATACTGTTCATCGCGGATTTGAGAGAGGGTAGTGATGGCTTGGGCAGGTCTTCACCCAGCAGTGGATTGACCATGGCTGATGATGATGATGAATGGAAAGTAACTACAGGAAGTAACTGAAGGACCGTGATGCTTCGTTACATGCTAAGTTCTTGCACACAGAGACCAATGATGATGATCGTGGTGGCGATGTTTGAGACGATGCCAGTGATCCTGCTTGCTACTGCTGCTGATGATGACGCTGGTGATTCATAATAGGTGTAAAGACGCATATATTAGTCAATTACTATCGATTATTTCATCTAAAGATTAACACATCGCACGTGTAAAAAGCTATATTTTTCCAAACTTGATTTGGAGCTTTCGTGACTTCAGGAATTACTCGTTGGTTCTTTCTGTGTATATTCTTCCAATTCGTTTGTCGTATGAAATCGTGCCACGTGACCCCTGCAGCCACTAGAATCTGCTACGTCCCCCACAGTTTTGACAATTCTTGAATCAAATTGCGACCGTGAATAACAAAAGACTCCTTCACCTTTAATGCAGCTGCTGCTGCTGCTGATGGTGACGATGATGGTGGCGCCGGTGATTTTTGTGAAGATACAAATGATCGTGCCGCTGATGCTGATTGTAGTGCCGGTAACGGTGGGAATTTTGGTAATAATGGCAACGCGACAACCGATCATCAATCTCCTGGTCTACAGAGCAACGACACAATGCTGCTACCGATGATGATGATGATGACGATCACAAGGACTGAGTCGTCACCTTCACTGATTTGATACACCTCGCCCGCGAGCTTGCGGACGAGCTGGAATCCCGCGATCTTGCAGCCGAAGCCGTCGTCGAGAAGAATGTTGGCCGCACGAAGATCAAGGTGCACGCAGCCCTCTTCCTCCAGGAAGCGCATCCCCTCGGCCACCTCGAAGGGCATAAAAAAAAATATCACTTCACCAACTACCACCGCCGCCACCAAATCACCGTGAACATGCTCGATCTCGTCAGCAGAGCTGAGCCTGGTTAACGCCCGGTGGTTGGGATTCTCCTGGGAACACGAGGCGTTGAAGGGCTGGGATACGAGGTGGTCAGGATACGGCAGCCAGGCATCAGATTGGTAATTGTAGATTCACTTCCAGACAAGACATTGCCTGCAAAAAGATTGTGCGAGATTTGTCCGCTCCAATGTGATATCAGAGTTTCCCTTCTCCTACGTACAGTCGATTCACAACCATGTCCCTCAAGTGCTTGCCGAAGCTGCATGGAATTCCGGGTGCTGAAGAATAGATTGAGGTCGCACTCATGGCACACCAAGTGCTTGCCACAAATGAACCGCAACACCTCGCTGATCTCACCAAGGAGCATAAACCATCACGCAACCATCAAACAAAGACGGTCACTGCATCGCGCGCATTCAGATGCTTTTCTGCGGCCACCTGGAAGACTCTTCCTTCCGATGTTAGGAAGCCATTGGAGCTATGCACTTTTAAATCTAGATGGAAAACTGATTTTATTAGAACTGCTTTTTGTGTTTAGTTCGTTGTCCTTCCCCCGCACCTCCAATTAGCACGGTTGGCTATGTGCGGTGCGAAATAAGTTCAACATACATACATGCACACATTTCTTCTTACGTATCATCTGATAAAACCCCTCTGTGTTATTTGAGGAGGGCTTCCCAACGTCTACCACGTGGGGGACGTGCACCAATGCCACTGTATCCCGTCATGGGAATATGGAATTTCCACCAATGGCTTGGGACCACCGACTATGGATGTGAGTGTCGTCTCGTGCTGCGTGGGCCATCACACCTGTCCTGCCACTACGTCCACTCGGCCGTAACAAACAAAAAACGAAGGGTACCTCGGCAGCCATTTTGAGGTAGTAACGGTCACGGTTGGAGGAAGATTTCTTCTCGAGGAAGGCCAGAAGATTTCCTGTTGTATGTAGGGAGATGAGTACACAGGGAGATGAGTACACAGGGAGATGAGTACACAGGGAGATGAGTATTGAGGGACATAGGCGCACAGAGACATCAATACAATACGGAGAAAAATGAAAGTCACAGAGAAATGAACACGTGTATGTATATGAAGACAGAAATGCTTTTTGTATTTTCGTTTGTTGTCCTTCCCCCGCACCTCCGACTAGCACAGTTGGCTAGGTACAATGCACAAGAAGATCGGCATACATACGGGAGAGCAGGTTACAGAGCCAGGCAGTGAAGAACCCTGTGGGTCTGGGGAGCAGTGTGCATATTATCCCGGGATTAGTCAGAAGGAAGTTGAGATGTGGTGTGTTAGCAAGGTGGGTTTCTTGATACACTATGCAAACCGATTTTCATGTTGAGAGGTGAGTGTTTGAGGGAGGGGTGATGTCAGTTACTGTACATGCCAATAGATCTTGAAGGGAACGATGATGGGCATGGTTGGCGACGTATGGTGCGGAAGAAGTTCAATATAAATACATTCATAGGCACAATAAAAGCATCTGCCACGTTAATATTGGTGCAACATCCCATGACATCATAGTATAGGCAACTTAGTAGGTTCGGTATGAGACAGGGTAAGAGAGTGTTGTGGGTGTAATTGGGAATAGGAGGTTGTGATGGGTGGGAAATGTCTGCAGGACTGAGGAGGGCAGGCAAGTGTGATAGGCAGATGTTGATGATGAGACTCTTATGAGTAGTCTTGAAAACACGTTATTGACCTTGCACCAAGGAAAATACAAAAATATACTCGGGGCTCTACGACACATATCAGGGCTCTATGACACATTCGAGCGCTATTGAGTCATGGCATCGCCAAGACGGTGGCGTGTGGTATAGTATCAACAATGATCAACCATTGCAACTCGCTACCCTAACATTAACAAGCTGCAGCCTGTACAAATTTATTTGGCATGTGTCGTTAAGAAAACTGCAACATTCAAACTTGTCAGTACCAGTGCTTGATGGCATGCGTTGGCTTCCGGTTGCTGAAGAAATACATTACGAGGTCGCATTCATTATACACAAAGTGCTTACCCCACAAATGGACCGCAATATCTTGCTGATCTCGTCAAACCATCACAAAAAACTCCGGTCATCCTCGTAGCGACTTTTGGCTGGCCATCGAACAAAGACGGCTACTGCATCGCGCACTTTCAGATGAGCTTCTGCGGCCGTCTGGAACGCTCTTCCCTCCGATATTAGTGATGCCACTGAAGCTGTGCACATTTAATTCTAGTATGCAAACTCGTTTTAGAACAGACGTTTGTGTTAGTTTGTTGTCCTTCCTCCGCACTTACGATTGGCACGGATGGCTACGTACAATGCGAAGGAATACTCTTTGGTTCTTTCGATAAATTCACGTAGGTAGAAAAATAAGGATAAATCACGATGTTTCGGGGGGCAAACGCAAGCACTCATCTTCAGGTGGGAAATGAAGGGATGCCGTCATCAAATCTAGAATTCTAAAGAAGTTCAACATACATACATATATAAAAGCAATATGGTATGAAGTAAATATAATTAAAATATGGGAATACGTTATTGCTGAGTGGTTTTACAGGGTACCGGAGTGGGCCACTATTGGCCACTAAGTATGTTTCGTTTGAATGTCCGCTCCATCTGAAAAGCCACCTGTGGGCCGGGGGGGCAGTGATAGGTGAGAGACAAGGAGACCCTCGGTACTCTAACCACACCTTCACTATGTTCCCTCCGATACTAGGCTTTGAATTTGGAGGCTGGTGTTAGGAGTTAGGCCTCGCCCACCTGCTCGTTCTTGAAGGACGCTTGGTTTTGGATCTGCTCTCAAGCTGCTTCAGGTGGCCACCGTCAAGTGCCTTGGGCCGTTTGTTCATCTCGTTGAAGAGGGAACATTTATTAAGAAAATAAATGATTGGTGTCGATTGGTGGTGGTTCTCGTGGGACGCCGATGCTCATCGGACTCATCCAGTACGGATAAATGTTGTGATTTTGACTGCGTCGATGTATGTCCATTACAACATGGGTGCGTGTTGTTTGTCATTGACCTTTCTGTTTATATTTGTGTGCGTGTGTAATGGGTCTGTGTGTCATGAGCCTCAATGTGTGTGCACGCGTGTATATTCGTTTGCGTTTCTCCTGTGCTGGATACGTGGATGTGTGCATAATGGACCCAAGTGTATGTATGTGTATTTTGTAACGTTGTATTTTTGTGTGGATTTGTATAAAGAGATCCATGTATGGTGTAGATGTGTGTAATTGGCCACGTGTGTCTTCGATCAGACCGACTCCACCACCAGAAACCGACAGCTGGGCGTCCTCCCTGAACACCCGGCATAAGTACATACATTCCTCGAGACAGTCTGGTCCCTTCACCTGATGAAGGTCACTTGTGTTGTGGCCGAAACGTCGTGAATTTTTATTTTTGTTGTTTTATACTTTTACGTGACTTTACCGAATAGAACCAAAGAGTACCAAATGCAAGCTTTGGCAAGACAGGAAAATAACAAAACTGTCCCAGAACACACTAAGACAACCCAATTGAATTGCACATTAAATTTTAACTATCGATACATGGCTGAGGATTACTAATCATCTGCTGCAGGATATTTTTTGAAGGAAGATTGACAATGTTAAGGGAATGAAACACATATTCTTGGTTCTTTCAGTAAAGTCACGTAGAAGGGAAATAATAAAAATAAAACATAATATAATAAAATTCTCATTAAGTTTCGGCCACAAGGCAAGCAGCCGTCCTCAGGTGAAGGAACAGAACTGTGGGAAAGACAGCGTCCTAATGAACACTGTTAAGCTTGGCAGCCTATTTTAAGCTGGGTGGGAGCAGGAGAGAGCCTTAACAAAGGAGTTTACATATCAACAGAGGAATTTAGCATATTGATGATATGCAGATGTGGGGTTAGTCACTCCTTGTGGAATGTCTAGGCGGTGGGGGGGGGGGGGTCTCAAACTCATTATGCTAGTGTATTATGTAGGATTAGCAGTAATAAAGGGAGATACATTTTAATAATAAAGAATTGCAACAGCCCAATCCACCGCGTATCAAGCTAGTGCATTATGTGGAAAATAAAAAAGGGGAGTTTCTAAAGAACTACACATATCCTACTACCATACAATAAACCGATGTGAAAAAAACTAAATATAAACTACATCAATATAATCAGTGTACTCAATATACTCTCCAATTAGCTGAGCTGTTAACATTAAGTAACTGGGAATACACTACACTATATAATGACTACCATATAGTAAACTAATAAAAAGAACTAAAATATAAACTACATCAATTTAATCAATAAACTCAATATACTTTCCAATAAGCTGAGCTAATAACAATAAGTCATTATACATTACACTTCTATGTCGAAAAAAGCGTCGGGTTTTTTAACGTTAGCACCACGGAAAGCGGCGAGCTTTGTTAAGATGGACGAGTCTATCTATGCTCGGAATGGAGGAGGGGGGAGATAGAGAGAAACAACCACAACTTTCCAATAAGCTGAGCTATTCACATTAAGTAACTGGATATACACTACACTATATAACGACTACCATATATATACAAAAAAAACTAAAATATAAACTACATCAATATAATCAATATACTCTACAATAATCTGAGTTTGCATATCAGCAGAGGACTTTAGCATATTGACGTTAAGAAACGTAAAATTGTAATGTATAATAATTTATTGTTAGTAGTAGGGTAGTTGCAGTTTATATTAAAGTTTTTTTTTTATCGGTTCACTATATGGTAGTCATTATATAGTGTAGTGTATACCCAGTTACTTAATGTGAATAGCTCAGCTTATTGGAAAGTTGTGCTTGTTTCTCTCTATCTGCCCCCTCCTCCGTTCCGAGCATAGATGGACTCGTCCATCTTAACAAAGCTCGCCGCTTTCCGTGGTGATAACGTAAAAAAAAACCGACACTTTTTTCGACGTAGAATTGTAATGTATAATAACTTTTGTTCGTAGCTCAGCTTTATGGAGAGTATATTAACATAGATGGACTCGTCCATCTGAATAACTGCCAAATCGCTCTCCGTGGTGCTAACGTTAAAAAAACGCCATTTTTTTCAAATTTTCTTGCTGTGGTTTTCACACCTGATGATGATTGCTTGTGTTACAGACGAAACGTGATAATTGTATTGTTTTATATTTGTATTATTTTATTGTTTCCCTTCTACGTGGTGACTTTACCAAAAAAAAACAAGAATATGAATTCCTGCAGTCACGAAAGCTTTAAATCAAAATTTATTGATGTAGTTTATATTTTAGTTATTCTTTTTTATCAGTTTACTCTATGGTAGGCATTAGTCATTATATAGTGTAGCGTATACCCAGTTACTTAATGTTAACAGATCAGCTTATTGGAGAGTATATTGAGTATATTGAATATATTGATGTAGTTTATATTTTTTTTCACATCGGTTTATTGTATGGGAGTAGGGTATGTGTAGTTCTTTAGAAACTCCCCGTTTAATTTTCCACATAATGCACGAGCTTTATATGCGGTGGTTTGGGCTGTTGCAATTCTTTATTATTAAAATCTCTCTCTTTATTACTGCTAATCCTACATAATCCACTAGCATAATATGACTTTGAGACCCCCCACCGCCTACACATTCCACAAGGAGTGACTAACCCCATATCGGCATTTGCCATCAATATGCTAAATTCCTCTGTTGATATGTAAACTCCTTTGTCAAGGTGCTCTGCTCCTTCCACCCAGCTTAAAATACGCTGCCAAGCTTAGCAGTGTTCATTAGGACGCTGTCTTTCCGACAGCTCTGTTTCTTCACCTGAGGACGGCTGCTTGCGTTGTGGCCGAAACGTCGTGATAATTGTATTATATGTTGTATTTTTATTATTTTATTATTTCCCTTCTACGTGACTTTACCGAAAGAACCAAGAATATGAATCCCTGCAGTCACGAAAGCTTTAAATCGTAATGAAACACGTTCGTTCCAAAATGTGTATTCCTATCATATATAGCATGTGCCCGCATATGTGTTATGTGCACGTGGAAGTACATAATTTATATACACTACATCATGTACATAATATTAAACGATACTATATACACATACTATTATGTTTGATCTCAATCTATGGGACTCACAAGGTA